GATGGATGTTATCTATAATATTTATTTAACAGTAATGCATGTAAGTGTGAGATACATACTTAGCATGGATGCTAACAATTATATGCATCGCTTGTAGAAGATCATCTGTATAAATATCACTAACACTGTATTTCTTTACATTAAGAGGCTGATGTCAAACTTTTTTATTTTATCATATTTGTTGGCTCATGTAAAAAAAAAATTACACGGATCCAGATGTAAAGTAGCACAGTGGAGACTCAAGAGTTCTATAATGATTAAGACAGCAAATTGTGGTGAAGGATTCAAAATTTAATTTAGTTTAGGTTGCCTATATGTACAACACACAGAGACCTTCACATTAATGGCACTGCTGGTTAGTATTAGTTACAACTAAATGCAATTTATTGTGAAATTATGCCTGACAAATTCTTAATCTTATTTAAATACTTAAAAAAAACATTTATGCAGTCAAATAAATGCAAAATATTCATTGTTATTCTTAATGCACTTTTCAAAGACTATATGACATTCAGGAACCTTAACTTATACACCAGAAATAAACAGGAAGTATTTTTTGAGTTTTTTCTGAGTATAGATACAATGTGATAGAGAGGCCCATATCTATTAGCTGTTTTTTAAACTGGAAAAGACAAGAGTACCTCCCCACACAGGTAGGTTGTTCTATCACCTAGGTGACATGTACTGAACTATACCTCAAGCACCAGAATCAGAAAGCAAGAGAAACATGATATTTAAAGCCATGCATCCTCATATCTTCAGAATAAAATCTTACAAGAGTTTGGTAGGATATAGAGTAACATGTATATGCTGTAAAATCTGATAAAAGCTTGCTTACATTCATTTTAATCATTATTAGGAAATATTGATTGATATTGTTTGCAATTAAGCAGTTATATAAAAATACTATGGGATATGTTGAAAACTCATTTGAAAGGTCTCCTTGAATACAAGGAGGAGTTAATAGCTATTAAAACACACAAGTATAAAGAATCCCTCACATGTGTACTTCTGCGTCCTCTCTTAAAAGACCCTGGCATTGTGCAATTCATTTACCTCGGTGCTTTATGTCATTATCTAATCAGAAAAATATAATCTTATTTACTAAGACTTGTATTAACTGTTACACATGATGCAATTAATACAGGGATACGTGACATTATTAAATAGAAAAGAAGTGTTTTTAAATTTTAATGTTTAAATCAGATTAAAAATAATGTGCCTTCCACATGTCTGATATGCTGTTGATCATAAGCTTGTTATAAAACTAAAATTAGGCACAAAACACAAGCCAAGAGGCTGCAGTGGAAGAAGTGTAAGGCTGAAACAAACAAAAATGGTGAAGGCTGAATCCGGAGTAAAAGAAAATCAGGCTTTGATCATGAGCGTGGAGAATCCTGTCCACAGGATTTTATTTTTGCATGCATTTTTCACTTGATAACATTCATGCAGTTAGATGAGGAATTGCTCAAGTAAAGGTATTAGTCATTTTTGGAACAAATAATATGTATTTTTCATCGCAAGAGCAGTGTGTCTTCTTCTTGGTGTTATGGCTGTCATACGTAATTCTATTCCAGTTAAAAAGTGTCGAAAACTATAAAGATTAAAAAGTTTAATGCTGCAGGGTTGTCTCTCTAAACTAGTCAGGTGTGGATTTGAGCTATTTTACTGCTGAAAGCACACTCATTGTCTGATCTTAACCTGTGGTCGCTGTTGATCTCTTACCAACTGATGCAGTGAGGAAATTTGTAACCCAACAATAATGAAATGTTTTACCTGTGAGCATCGTACAGGACTATAATTATAAAAATGTTGAAGTTTTTGCATGTACCATCGACCTCTTGCTGTACTCCCCTCAGCAGCCAAAATACAGAGCTATCATTACAATATGCCACATCCATCATCCTCCTCCACTTAAATTATCTAATCATTATTACATTGCAGCAGTAACCTCAGAAGTAATGCAACACTAAGTCTTTTAAAAGTTTTTGCTCATGCACAGAAAACACAACAAAAAAGAGAAAAAAAAAGAGTAAGTCAAAAACAACTGAGAAGAAAAATAAATGTCATATATTTAAAAATGTGACTCTACCTTTTTGTAATAGCTGAGCGTTTCATGTGCAGTGTTTTTCACACCCAGTGCAGATACTGAACCCTGTTTGGCTGCTAAGAGCCTCTTCTTGAGATCTTCATAGCTGCTTGCTAGTTGTTTGTTTTCTTCAAGTGCAGCATTCAGGGTTTCCTACAAAGCAAATGAAAATAGATTTATGTTAACTAAACAACATGTATGCAGAGACTTTTTTTCCATAAGCACCACCTACTGTTACTTAGAAGTACCTCAAAAAACATTTTCTTGATACGTTTATTCACTACAACCACAAACCTCTGTGGATTTTTTAAAAACAATGCAGCAAATCATTAGATAGTAAAAGCAAAACATTTTTCAAATTATTTTTGGATTAAAAAACAAAAACAATTATTGTGGAAGCATCATGCTATGGGGTTAAAATGCTTTAGCAGGGATAGGGAGGCTGATCAGAGATGATGAAATACGGACGAAACCTTAGAGTCCAGAAGGAAGACCGGATACAATCTGAAAAATGTGAGACCTTCTAACCAGTACCAACTCCAAATAAACAGACGGCGCAACAGTAAAGCTCTGAATGAACATGTAGCTTGATTTAAGGCTGTTCCAATGAAAAAAAGGTCAAAAACAAAAACACAACGGTCTCATATATGTAGATGTACATCCAGCATATGTACCTGCATTTATAAAAAAAATCCATCTGATTTTGCAAGGGATTTGGTATAAAATACACAGTGGTGTAGTTGTTTCCTGCAGATCCACTCTAACTATCTAAACAACAACAATGCTGGTAAACGGTCTATGTTTTAAATACACCACATTCTGTCCAGCTATAGAACCTCCTCAACAGTTCAACAAGTAAAATATATTTTAAATATAACTGCATGTCATTAGAGCGATTGAAAACTGGAAAAAAAATTACAAAAAAAAGGCTGCAAAGTAAAGTATAGAACACAAGCACAAAAGGCCACTGTTATAGAGCAGCCACTATTGGGCCTATAATATCAAGATATATGGTAAAACTGTTTAATGCTTCCAAAAATTACTAAAAAACCCCATATAGAACAGAATATAGAATATATTTAATATAGAAATTCAACATACTCTTAAGATTAGCACCATCATCATATGGCATGGTTGTGAAACTGATCTCTACTAGCCTCTGTTTTTGGTCTCTTTAATAAGCAAAAATAAAAAAAACAGGATTACAATAGAAGGTACTTTTTGTAAAAAAATAAAAAATTTTAAATAAAGCAAATAAATCACAGCAACCATGCCCCTCGGTATTTGTCGCCTTTTCATCTGAACAATGTTTCCTCAGTGCAGAAAAAGAGGAACGTGAGAATATCTCAACTGTACCTGCAGACATAATGAAGTGTGTCTCTGCAGTAAAACAGAACAGCACTAAAGTGATGAGTTTAACCCAGCAGAAAGAGGGGCTGTAAACATGACAAATGCCTGCTATTGATTTCAGGTTTAATTACTCCATGCAGCACTGACAAAGCCCATCTGATGCTGTTGTGAAGTGTAAATGGAACAAATTACACTTCATTGCCCATAAGAAACTGATAGCGTCGGCAGTTTGCATTGTTTACTTTGTCCTCGCCAAATGACAAGACCTGATCAAATCAAAACATAGGTGTGTACTTAGAAATTGAAATTCTTTCACCTTTTCATGGGTTCAATAGGGAGGGAGAGTGGCTCATCTTAAAATAAACATATTTAACATAGATATATGTATTCATATTTTTAATAATACCAAATATGACCACACATAAACTTCCTGTAACAGTTGGTGGAGAATGGGCAAGCTGTGGTCAGCATATTTATTAGGATTTACACATTCGAAGGTATCTAATCATTCTGCTTCATGCACCATGATTTCTGGATGCACACTCTGCTTATTATGTTATGCTAATATAGGCATTATGTGTGGTTTATATTGGTTTCAGTGATTAAAGTGACCCATTTCCTTAGAACCTGAGACTCTGCCTGATCTTTTTATTTGGCTGGAAGTGTTGTTGTTGTATCATCTTATTTCTTCAAGTGAAAAAGACTAAACTCTTTTTTGCATGGCTAACTTTTATCCAGCTAATGGGAGTTGTGTCTATGAGGAAGACTTTTAATTCTTAAATTGTCTCACGCCAACAACTTCTTTAAAGTTGCTGCACTTGGATGCATGGCAGCTTAGGCTCCATTGCCTTTTCTTGTTTTGAACTAATGCATTCTTGATCACCGTTTAATGAAACTATATACCACATGGCGATTTCACATTAGATAAGCCATGTGAAACCCCCATCAGCAAAGAGGCTCTGGCTGGGGCTGATAATCCTGCAGATGAAAACCTTACAATAAATAGGGCTTCTCTTACAAAGAGACTGTTCAAATGAATGCTATTTCTTGCAGAGCAGATTGATGTTTCCTAAGGTTTTTTTATGTTATAAATAAGTACGAGTCAAAACCATGTGATCCTTTTAAAAAAATATATAGTGGATGTATTACAATTCCTATTAAAAATGTTGGCCTACAGGTAACAAAAGCAGACATGGTATCACACCATGACATGCATCATCAAATTCGTCCAGACAAAAAGAGACTACAACAGCAGCGACTTGTTATTTGTGGCAAAAGCACTTAAATGAGATTGACCATGGCTTGTAATTTTAATTGCAGACTGCTCTGTTTTCTCCATATCTTAAGGGACGTATTGTAACGAGCAATGTGCTGACACTAATCCAAAAACAAATAAACAATGTGGTGGAGCGGTTTTTACAGCTCGTCTCTGACTTTACAGCATGTGACACAAAAATTCATGCGTTTATAGACAGTTATTGTGACACTGTTTTGTTTTCTCTTACCTTAGTGTCTTCCATTAGCTCTTTTCTTGCTTTAAGATGAGTCGAGCGTGTCGTCATGAATTGTTGTGTTTCTTGCTTCCTGTTATTAATATCAGACTGCAAGGTGCTCATGAAGAGAGAAGCGGATTTGTTTTTGAACTTCATCATTTCGAAATCTTTTCTGCAAGGAGACCATTGAATTAGTTGTCAAATTAATTGATATTTTGATCTAATCAATACTGGGAACATAATTATTTAAAGATATTCATTGTTATTGATATCAATAACATCTGGTCAGTAAAGCCCCTTTATCTGCAGCAGTACTACTCTAATTAGGTCTGTTACAAAGTTCAAAATCACTTATTCTCTTATGGTACAATCTGACATAGGGAAATATTTCTACTAAGTTGCAATGTCCAAAAGACAAACATGTGTGCCTCTCTCCATCACCCCTCCATTTAGTTTGAAAGACTTGGAGGTTAATATTTCCTTTCATTTAAAAAGTTTGTGGTGGAACCAGACTGAGAAATTACAATAGTGGGAGGAAGAAAAAGTAGCTTTTGCTACCCACTCTGCTAGTGCTGTAGTATTTGAGATCAGTCCCGGTCTCGAGTTTATATTGTTAGGTTCTAGGTCATGTCTTTGTATCAACAGAATTTTTATTTGGTTTTGTCTTGGCCTCAGACAGGGCGGTCTTGGGTTTTTGATCAAGACAAATGCTAATAAGCTTTCTCTATACCTTACTAATACAATTTCAAAAAGGACTTTATCAAAAATCAGCTAATAAAAACTTCATAAGTGTTAGTGTCATGATCCCCCCAGCTGCAGCTGCCACCTGCCTGCAGTCAGTGTGACACTGACTGACACCCCTCTGTGCATCTTCCTGAGTGTAGAGAAGTGCAACAGGACATGAGGCAAGCAGCTGCCTAAAAAAAAGGAAAAGGAAAGACTAAAGTAAAAAGACTTCAATAAAAATATCTCACTGAAATGTCAGCTTTTTCACACAGTTTATGTAGGCCTAACACTAGAAGTCCCATAGATACAAGAGTTTTCGTCCAGCTGTGGCCACCCGCACAATTAAGGAATCCCTTTTCTCATGTTAATCATTCTGCCTTCAGAACAAAATTTCTGCTGAAGGCTCACTGCTGACAACTGTGTTACCAAAGGTTAAATAAAAAAAAAAATCATATCTGTAAATAAACATAACTATATGATTTTAAACCGCTGTACCTAGTTTCAGCTGATAACTGATCTGTACGAAGATAGCTATAATACCTTGAAACGAGAGGGAAGGCTCCTCTGTTTCAGCACCACGGGTTTATCTCTACATATATTGATGCATCTTGAGCCACACCGTATTCTTCACCACGATGAAGTTCATTTCCAGTCGAATATTCAAGCTCCATGGAGTCAACAGCATCTAGCTCACAGTTGACTCCAATTTAAAGTGAACAGGAAAGAACAGGGAGCAAAAGCTCTAGAACAATCGGAAGAAATTAGAGGTCCTGAAACAGATCAAAGGTGAGCTAGATGCAGCTGGTTGAATATCCAATTTCAAACTGAAACCAACTACACAGCGTTAGATAATACACTGTACACTCTAAATAAAAGCTGCAACTTAGACATTTTCAGTCTATTAGAAAACAATAAAAATATTTTTTTTAAATGCACAGTAAAATATTTACTGTTTTTTTTTTTAGGTTATTGCAGCAGTAATTAAACTAAACAGATAGCTGGGTAGATTGAAAGATATAGTATCCAGATAAATATTTAACTATGAAGCAATCTCTCCTTTTTACAATTTAGGCAAAATGACTGTTCATAAGTCATTTCAAACTTATGTGCAGCACCAGCATGGTCTGTTTTCTGCTTTTGCTTGTAGGGGAATCAGACACATGAAAGGGTCCATTAACAGCTTTTTTTTAATTTACTTTGCTTCCAATATGTATTTGATAGACGATCAGATTCACATTCAAAGAGTCATAGTTCCTGAGACTTGTAGTGTAAAACTAGCTGCTAATCACTCTTTAATTTACCCATTTTTTCTCTCTGAAATGACTGGCTATTGTGACTTATCATTTCAGTTTGTTTGTTTGTTAACATGAACCCTTTCAAAAAATTTTACCTGACAAGTTGTCTATGACTTAAAGCGGGTTGCTTTTTGAGAAAAACAGCAAAGGTTGTTTTTGCATGTATTTTAAAGTAAACTTAAATAAATGAATAACTCAAAATTCTACAGCTTGTCTTATTGAGATCCAAGATCTAATTTACAAGAGATATCAGTCTTGAAAAACAAAAAAAAATT